TTGACTTCTTTGAGTTATGTGTTCAGTAGTGGGCCAAAATATAAGAATGGTTCAGTTACTTTCTTAGCATAATTCCAAACTAATAACCAGAATGGTTGGACCAATTTACAGTTCCACCAATAATTTGTTAGTGTTCCTGTCTTCCCAACATTCACAAAAAAGACAAAAAAAAGATATGTAACAATGTGAGGGAAAATCTCAGAAATGCTTTAATTGCCATTTCTCTTACCACTAATAATTTGTAGCATGTTTTCAAATGGTTATTTATACTCTGCAATTCTTCTTTTGAAAACTTCAAATCAAATCAACCAAGTACTTATTAAGTTCCTAACATGTGCCAGGCATTGTGTTAGCCAATGGGGGTAAAAATAAAAATTTTTTAAAAAACCGTTTTTGGACTTAAGAAGTTTACCTTCTATAAAGGGAATAATGTATATGCATACAAGTATCTGCAAGTAATACATAACTGCAAAGTAATTTAAAAATTTTTTTAATTTTTATTATGAACTGAAACATTAAGATTTGAATATACAAAGAAGATTGCATATGAAAATATGAACTTCTATTGCATAGTTTGCATGTTAAATTTAACACAGTAAAAAAAAATTTTGCTTCTCAGTTCCCTTCTGAACTTCTTTCAGCTCTCTTCTGTTGATGTTGGGTTTTTTGGGTTTTTTTAACATTTCATTGTTACTCCTTTCTTTCATTTCTTCTGTTTCTCATCACTATTACTACTCACCAACTCCTCCCCACTCCAACTGAAACCTCCCAGGTAAAGTGTCTTGGCAGAAGGGCTAAACCAGGTTGAGGGTAACTGACAGGCCTCAAACCCATCATTAAGTTAGGAGAGTGTCTACCCCAAGCATATGAAAACTTCCCCTAGCAGAATGGGTGGATGAGAACAATTTGTTCCACCAGCCACGAAGCCGGCTGAAGCAGGTGCTTGGAGCACTTAGAGCTGGGTCAAACATTGAAGACACCAAGGTCTTTGATCCACTGCATCCTTGGCCATCACCAGTCATCTTGATTTTTGTCTTGCCACTGGATTTTAATGATTCAGGAAGAGAGCACGAGGCTGACAACTGTGTGAAACTCTGTCTAACTTAAATCTAATTCACAACCCATCCCAACCTGCCCATACTGGGTGACCACATACCTCTCTCTCACTGAAGCTCATCTCAAGTTCACAGAGTTAGAACTGGGACTTGAACCCAGAATTTTATTGCAGTAGTCATTTAATAATAATGATGATGATAGGTAACATTTGTATAGTGCTTACTATGTGCCAGGCATTGTGCTAGGCTCTTTTATGAATATTATCTCATTTGATCCTCACAGGAAACCTGGGAGGTAGGTACTATTATTATCTCTATTATTATCTCTTTTTTACACATAAGGAAACTGAGGCAAACAGAGGCTAAGTGACTTATCCAGGGTTATACCGCTGGCGAGTATCTGAGGCCACATTTGAACTCAGGTCTTCCTGAATCCAAGCCCAGCACTCTATATACCACCTCACTGCAATCTTGTTGCCTCTCCAGAAAGTTGTGATCTTTGCCCAGAGGCTTGTTTCCCCATCTTCCTACACATTTGTCCTCTACAGTCTGCTAACAGGACCAGAAGCTTGGGAAGATTAGTCCTTTCTGGCACCCTGGACACAGATAGATCTATCTGTATTCAGAGCATGGGTACAAGTAAAGCACAAGTCATAGATAGGTTCTCCAGCCTGCACTGAACCTCAGCCACACAAATGGATTCCTCACTCTCCCCTGCCTTGAGCTTGGCCAACAGTCTTACAAAGGTGCATGTCATTAATCACAAAGGGAAGAGAATAGATAGAAGACTGGATGACCACTTGTGTTATTGTGGGAATTCTTTTTTGTATATGGACCAATGTAGTATGGCAGAAACTGCACTAGTAATGGAGTCAGAGGATCTGGATTTAAATCGTCCCTCTGGAATTTATTACCTGCAAAGTCTTGGGCAAGTTACTTAAATTTTCTGAGTCTCAGTTATCTCATCTATAAAATGAAGGGGTTGGATTAGACAGCCTCTGAGGTTCCTTCCAACTCAGAAGTTCTGTGATTTTGTGATACATATTCTGATTTCCAGTCAATTATGTATCAATATCTGGACAACAGGACAATAAATACACTTAAGAATTTTACTGATGTTCTTTTCTTTTTCTTACATCACTATTACTACTAACTCCACATACACACACAATAGAGTCCCCAATTATAGCACATACAGCCAGTTAAAACAAATCAACACATGCTTCAATGAGGCATTAGATTGTGAGCAACTTGACAACAGAGACTATCTTTTGCTTTTCTTTGTATTCCTGGCACTTAGCACAGTGCCTGGCACATAATAGGTGCTCAGTAAGCGTTCATTTACTTATTGACTGATCGTGAGGCAGGAGAAATAGTTCACTAGTCTTCTGAAGTCATGACTGGTCACTCATTGATCAGAGTTCTGAAGTCTCAAAGTGTTGTTTTCACAATAGGCAACATCTTCATCCACTTAGTTTTTCCCAAGTGGATGGTTAAGCCAGACACTCTTGAATGGTTATATATCTCATTAGGAGGCTCTGTAACATTCTGGGTATTGAGGCCCAAGTTGTCATGGTTTTTTTCCCATTCTTTCTTCTCTACTTCTCTTGTGTACACCCTCTTCCTTCCACTCACACCATAATCATCCTAGTTCAACCCCTCAACACCTTTCACTTGGACTATGGTAAAAGCCACTCAGGTGGTCTCCCTGCTTCTAGGCTTTCACCTCTCTAATCTGTTGTCCATACAGCATCCTCCACATGGCTGCCAAATTTATGTTCCTAAAACAGTCACTGATCAAGTTACTCCCCTATGGAAGAAGCTTTATTGGTTCCCTATAGCCTCTGGAATAAAATACAAACTATTTTACTATAATCATGATTTAAAGTCCTTCACAGTCTGACTCCACATATTCTTTCCAGCTGTCTACATATTCCTTCTTCAATCTAGTCGAACTGATCAATTAACTATTTCCAGTACAAGATATTGCCTCTCTTGCCTCCCCACCATCCCCATGCTTGCATTGCTCTCTCTCCTTACCACCACCTTGGAGAATCTTTAACTCTCTTCAAGACATAGCTCAAATCCTATTTCCTTCAACAAGCCTTTACTGGTGCTCACAGTTGATTTTCTCCCTGACCCCAACCTTCCCCCAATTACTTCGTATTTATTTTGTACATATCCTATATTTACTTCTCTGTGAATGTGTTATATCCCCTAAGCCCCTTGAGGTCAAGGACTCTCTAGCTCCTATATTTGTATTTCCAGGCTCTGGAACATAATAAGCAATTAATAAATTCCGGTGATTGTTTGATTGGTCTATTGATTGAAGCAATCAACACAAAGAAATCTGCAAACAGGCATAGCTAGAAGACTTCACAATATGAAAGGAGCCTCTCTTTGACTTTAACTTATGCTGAATCTCCTTACAGTGACAAATACCTTCAGCAAATACATCTTTCTGTTTTACATCTCTGTAAGGATATGAATGCCATAAAGTTCTCTGGCCCCTTTTTCTCAGGGCCTACCCAACTACATCTCCCCTCAGGCTTCGTGAGGGGACAGGATATCTCTTCTCTATGGTCACTTGCTGGAGTTCCCACCAGCTGTATTCCCCTCACTATTAGGAGATAGTGATTCCCAATAAAATTCCATTGAACATCAATTAGCTTTTACAAAGGGATATTTACTTCAAAGATATAGCAAGAACAAAGCACATTTACCACCCAAATAGCTGGGGACATACTCCTCTCGATGCCATATTAGCCTAAACTTAACTCAGTTCCTACAGCACATTGGTTCCACCAAGTTCATGTACAAAGGCAGGATCTCTTCTGGATGAGTCCTCATTTCAGCTTTTGCTGGTATGTGTCCAGAATGTCACTTTGGAAGATTGCTCCCTGCCTCTCTGGACATTGATGAGAGGCTGGCTGAAATATTTAGCTTGGGCTTCAAAGTCCTGGAATCCTATAGCTTGTTCTCCTTACCTTTCAAAACTCTCAAAGTCAGAGACCCCATTCCCTTCACCTGACACCATGAATGAAGGAGTAACTGAGATGCCCCAGAGTCAAATGAGGCAAAGATACTGTAGTTGAAGCTGACAGGTCTTTTTATGTTTATTGATATTTTCTGTTTCTTACATCACATACTATCACATGTATTCCTCTCCCTCTCAGTCCTTCACCTTGAAAATGAAAATCATAATTCCCTTCACAGAGTCATCCAATATGACAAATAGTAATTTTTTTAGAGAGAGAGAAAAAAAAAGTCAGCACAAAGTCAACATTGAGAAAGCCCAAAAACATGTGCAATGTGTAACATCTGTGGACCTCCCACCTCTGAGAAGTAGGTTGGGTGTCTTCTCATATCTCTTTGACTACCACTTTATCTTTATAATTTTGTTATTTACTTTTTGATTTTAGGTGTGTCATTCTTACCATTTAAATTGTTGTAGTTACTGTGTATATTGTTTTCTTGGCTTTGCTTACTTCAATTTGTATCAATTCATATAGATCTTTCCAGGTTTCTCTGCTTCTTACCACACACGTAATTTCTTTTTTTAAATAATATTTTATTTCCCCCCAATTACATGTAAAAACAATTTTTAACATTTTTTTTATAAAAATTTTGAGTACCAAATTCTCTCCCTCCCTTTCTCCTTTACCCTCCCTGAAACAGTAAGCAATCTAATACAAGTTATACATGTGCAATCATGTAAAACGTATTTCCATATTAGTCATTTTGACACACATAACTTCTTACAGCACAGTAATATTCCATTATATTCATATCCCACGATTTGTTTAGCCATTCCCCAGTTGATGGGCATCTACTTTGTTTCCAATTCTTAGCTACCACAAAAAGGCCTGCTATAAATATTTTGGAGCATATAGGAACTTTTTTCTTATCAATGGCTTCCTTGTAATGGAGTCCTTGGTTCAAAGGGTATGGACATTTTAGTCACTTGATTTCCATAATTCCAAATTGCTTTCCAAAATGGTTTCACAGCTCTGCAAACAATGGATGAGTGTGCCTCTCTCCCCACAACTCCTCCAACATTGACTGTTGCCATTTTTGGTTGTTTTTACCAATTTGCAGAATGTGAGGCAAAACGTCAGAGTTGTTTTGGTTTATATCTCTCTTATTATTAGTGATTTGGAGCATTTTTTATGTGGTTATGAATACTTTGTAGGTCTTCTTTTGAGAACTGTTTGTTCATACCCTTCAATGACAGGTCTTTTTAGATGCTGAAGCCAAACAGCCTGCTTCTTCACATATAGTTATTTGCTCTCAATCAGTTACAGAATGTCTAGGATGCTCTAGTCTCTCCAAGGCACTTGTCCCTTATGTGACATAGCGATTCTCCTGGGATTTCTCCTGGGATTTCTCCTGGGAACAGGGCAGAGAGATCCTATGGAAGGCACTGTGCACATGTACCAGGCCCTGCTGCACAAGAATAAAAAATTATGCAGTCGCTTCTCTCGAGGAGGTTATGTTCTACTAGGGAATGAAGAGCAGAGAAAGAGAACAGGATTGTCTTAAATTATTAGAGTGAAAACTGAACATATACCTCTTTGCATTTATTTCAGTGAGGTACTTCAGGTTTTTTTTTCCCACATATCCCCAATTCTACAGAATTCAAAATTCTAGAGTTAAAAATCTTTGTGTTATATTGTTTTTATCCATGTTAAAAGCTTATAGCAAACTACTGGAATAACTGAATATTATATTGTGAATTCAAATTGAATTTGTAAATAATGTCAGATTTGATGTTATGCATAGAAACCTACTTCTAGACATGCTTATTAGAAATAAAACTCCCTTTTATGCATTAATATAGTAGTTTAAGATATTGGAGGCAGCCCCCAGGGAATCATACAACATGTAAACTGTCCCTGATCAGGCTAACCCAATAAATTGGTCTAGTCCTCTTGATTCTACTACCACAACTTCTTATATCTGGCCCCTCCTTTCTATTCCTACTGCCATCACCTCAGTTAAGGTCCTCATTACTTCTTCCCTCACATACTATAATTGCCTCCTAACCAGTCATTCTATCTCCAATCTCCAATCTATCTTTCCCATCTTTCCCATAGACAACACCCTGATACCTGAATCTCGTCATATCACCCCTGCCCAGGGCCTTTATATTTCCTAAAGGATCATCAGTTTGGTACTGGAAAGGTCAAACTCCTCAGCCTAAAATTTAAGGTCCTCTATAATCAGACCACAGCCTATCTTTCCAGCCTCATCTCATGAGGTAGCTAAATGACAATGGGTGGAGCGCCGGGCCTTGAGTCAGGAAGACCTGAGCTCCAATCTGGCCGCAGACACTTAACTTAAGTGACCCTGGGGAGATTGCATAACCTCTGTATGCCTCAGTTGAATATTAATAGCACCTACCTCCTAGGGTTGTTGTAAAGTTAAATTAGATAATATTTGTAAAAGCTCTTAGCACAGTATCTGGCACATAGCAGGTGCTTCATAAATGATTTTTCCCTTCTTTCCTTCCTTTTTACCTACTGTCTATTTCAGCAAACTAGACTTTTCTCCATCTCTGCTTCATTCACTGTGCCATCTTTTATTTATGATTTTTCCTATCTTTGCCTTTGGAATTGTCTCCAACCAGCACTAGATCAGCAGTAATGTCAGAAGAGAGAAGGGGTATATACTATGACAGTAGAACTGACGGGACTTCGCAATAGTTTGGAATATAGAATAGGGCACGAGTGGGGAGCTGAGGGTGGCAGATTGGGAAGATGGCAGTGCTTTTGGCAGGAAGAGGAAAATTGGGAAAATGGAAGGGTTTTTTGGTAAATAATAATAATAAGTTCAGTTTTGAACACGTTGAGTTTAAGATGTCTATAGGATATCTAGTTCAAGATGTCCAATTGGAAGTTGGAAAGACAGGAGGCCAAGAGAGAAGTCTGGGCTAGATAAGCAGATCAAGGAATCATAAACACAGAGATTATGGTTGAAAAGTTGAGTCTATGAGAGTGATGAGATCACCAGTTAAAAAGTAGAAAGGGAAAAGAAAAGAGGTACAGGACATAGCCTTGGGAGATACCCACGGTTAGTTAGTAGAACTTGGAAGAAGATCCAGCAAAAGAAACTAAGAAGACAAAGTCTGAGAGGCAGGAGAAGAACTAAGAGAGCAGTCACGAAAATCTAAAGAGAGGAGAGTATTAAGGAGAAGAGGGTCACAGAAAATGTCAAAAGCTATAAAGAGATCAAGAAGGATGAGGATTGAAAAAGGGCAACTAGATTAGGTGATTAAGAGATCACTGGTAACTTTGGAGAGAGTGGTTTCAATTCAAATGACATGTTTGGAAGCTAGATTACAGAGATTTAAGAAGAGAATATGAGGAGGGAAAGTAGAGGCACTTATAAATGTCCAAAAGGAGTCCAGCCATAAAATGGAAGAGAGATATAAGACTACGGCTACTGGGGATGTATAGCTCAAGTGAGGATTTTCTGAAGATGGGGGAGACATGGGTGTATCTGTAGGCTGTAGGAAAGCAACCAATAGACAGGAAAAGATTTAAAATTAGTGAGAGAGTGGGAATGATAGAGGGAGCAATATGTTGGAGAAGAAGGGGGTAGAATGGGATCACATTAAAAGGGATTAGACTTGGCAATGAGAAGGGCAAGGTCTTCATGTGAGATGGGCAAAAGAGAAGTGGCAGCATCTAAGTGATGTGAGATGAAGAGAGATAAAAGGGAACTCTCTGCTAATGGCCTCTAATTTTTCAGTGAAATATGAGATAAGATTCTCACTGAGAGACTAGGGTTTGAGGAGAAATGGAAAGGTGTGGAAGAGGTATGTGGTGAGTGGGATAGTGAATCAATTAGAGGAGTATAATAGAGACTTGCTGCAGTGAGCATCCAATTGAAATTATATAATGTAAACTTGTACTGGACCCAGTCAGCATGGTTTTGTGATTCTCGTCAACTCTGTTCAGCAGCACATGAATAGGGATGAAGGCATAGGAAGATAGGATTCATCCAAGTCTAAGGTTTGGCAGGTCATGATCTTGAGAGAAGAGCATAGTGTGGAGCTGAACTACAGTTATCCCTTCCACATCAAGGGAGTTAGGGGCATGACGCCCTGGTGATCTGGAAAACCCGCATAAAATTTTTTTGGCCTTCCCTTCATACCAGAGAAGAAGTCTAAATTATTATGCTATTAAAGGATAAAATATGTTGATATTATATAATATCATACATATATTTTATACATTTCTGAGTTTCTAAACTTTTGGGGTATCTGCTGACGTATATCATTATCTGCTGCCCTTTGTATGTTGTCTGTGGCTTCTACAAAACTTCCAAAAAATTCCCATTTAATTTCTTATGCCAACCCACCATATATGGAAACCACGATGGGGAAAGTCGAGATGTGGAAGGGATAGCTGTAGTTTAGCAAAGGTGAAGATTGGGGAAGGGAGGAGACTGTAGCTAGCGCAGGATTGATGTGGCCTGGGAAAAAACTCATCAGTTGAGGGATTGGAGGTCACAATAAAGGTCACAGCAAAGACAAAAAGCAGGGTGTAGAGGCAAAGGGAGAAGTGGAATGACAACAGGTTGTGATCAGATAAGGGAGTTTCAAAGTTCATAAACATGGAAATGGAGCATTTATGGATGATGACAAGAGTGTGACCATCTCTACATGTAGCTGAGGTAGAGTAAAGAAGTAAGTTGCAGGAAATACCTAAGTTGAAGAACTGGGAGATTAGAGAGTTTGAGGGAGTATTAACATGTATGTTGAAGTACCCTAGTAGGAGAGCAGGAACTGGGAAGGAGGAGAGAAAGCATGAGCCAGGCAGGGAACTCATTAAGGAGAAGGTCCTCAGGGTCAGTAGATAACAGCTACCAGAACCTTGACTGGGTGGTAAATATGGATTGAGAAGAGGTTACTGAGTATCGGTGCCAGAGAGGTTGTAAGTAGCAATGGGAAACAAAGAGCATTCCAACTCCACCACCTTGACATGGGATGCCATTTCTATTTTGCATCAACAGTGGCTTATACATAGTAAGTGGTATGAGGGTGTCTGTTAAATTTGAATTCTTGAAGGAGGGCAAGGGAAGGACATTCAGCATATATCCTCCCTTTCTCCTAGAAAATAAGTTGTTTACATGCACTGTTCACCTTCAATCACTCCTCAGTCCTTTGCAATCAATCTTTTGTCATCACTCAACTGAAAGTGCTCTCTCCAAAGTACCAATGCTCAATCTTAATTGCCGAATCTGATGGAAATTAGGACTTTTCTCAACCCTAATATTTCTTGACCCATCTGCAGTATTTGATGCTACTGACCACCTTCTCCCTTGGATACTTTCTCCCCCTAGGTTTTCTTGATACTAGTCTCTCCTGGTATACCTCCTGATTTATCTGACCAATCCCCTTTACTGGCTCATCATCCACATTAGGTTCCCTAACTGTGGGTATTCCCTAACGTTCTTTCTTGGGCCCTCTTCTTTTATTCCTCTACGTTCTCTCTCTCATTAGCTCCTGTAGACAGATGACTCCTAACCCCATCTTTCCTCTGAGGTTCAGTCCCATATCACCAATTACAATTGGATATTTCAAACTCAACAAGTTATTTACCGCCTCTGTGCCACAGTTTTCTCATCTGTATAGTACGCATAATAATAGCAACTGCCTCACAGAGTTGTTGTGAGGATCAAGTGAGATAAAAGTTATCCTTCTTCTGTCTCCCAGCACCTCTCCTCCTCTCTATGATTTCTCAAAGATCACTGTCCAGCAATCACATTAACCAGTCACTTTGGTCCTTCTCACCTTGGGATGGAATACATCCAGGCTTAGCCACTTGAATTCACTGTAGGCAGCTAGGTGTATATGACATCTCCTTACATACCTTAGGTTCCAATGCCCTCAAAACCAGGTTTGTTCCATCTCTCACATTCTAAAGATCATCCTCCTTGGTAGCAAAAGTAGAAATGAAATAGATGTTTACGGCACTACTTATTTTCTATCATCCTTTCCTTCCTAGATGAAGAGACAGGAATGACAAGAAACCATTAGAGTTAAAGAATTTTGGTTAGCAGACACCTCAGGCATCTTCTGTAACCTACACCTGAGCAGGAGTCCCCTTTACAGTATCCTTCATGTAGCCTTGGAAGAATTTCAATGTCAGGAAGCTCACTATCTCATGAGGCAACCTATGCCATTGTTGGAGAGCTGAATGTTAAGAAGTTCTTCCTTACACTGAACTGAAATATGCCTCTCTGGAATTCCCCAATTCTGACTCTCTTTCTTAGTAAGTCTGTATTCTAATAAATAGACTTATAGAGTTTTAGGTCTTAAACCTTTCAAGGGTCACTATAGATCATCTGGTCTGACCTTCTTATTTTACACTGAAGTCCAGAGAGGGTAAGTGATGTCTCTTAATCATCTTATCTTTGTTGTTCTTTATCTCCTTAAATAGATGTTATTGAACAAAGTCAAGAAGTTGGTGTTTTGTTATTCAGTATGTGTCAAGTTTGCTTTGCTGCTGTGAGGATGAGGGAAAAGACTGAAGCCAGAGTCCCCAGGTAGTAAATCGTAAATCGGCATCAAGTGACATATCTGGAAGCCTTGCCTGGCACGTCTCCAGTCTGGTTGCTCCTACCAGACCCTCGATCTACAGTTTGACAGTATTCTCAATGAAGTGGATGACAGCTCAACTTAGCTCAGTAACTCTATCACCTCCCTCCCCAGTCTCCTCCCTTCTTTGCCTCAAGATTTGTCTTAATTGGTCATTCCGAGAGTCAAAGAGTTATTCTAACAATGTTGAGAGCATTGGCTGCACTAATGGAATGTGTATCTTGTAAAAGTGACTACTTTGAGAGAAAACACTCATTTGGAAGCAAAAGGGGAAGAGAAGGAAATAAGCATTTATACAGCACCTACCATGTGCTAGGCACTTTTCAAATATTATCTCATTTGATCCTTACAACAACCCTGTGAGGGTAGATGCTGTTATTATCCCCATTTTACAGATGAGGAAACTGAGTCAAACAGAGGTTCAGTGACCTGCCCAGGGTCACGCAGCTAGTATCTGAGGCCACATTTGAATTCGGTTCTTCCTGACTCCAGGCCCAGTTTTCTTTCCACTGCGCCATCTAGTGGCCTTGAAAGTGGCCCAGGAAAGGCTTCTTGATGAAGATGGTGCCTAAGCTGCATCTTAAATCAATTAAATAATAAATATTTATTACGCACCTTTCTTTAGCCATTTTCAGTCATGTCTAACTCTTCATGACTCCATTTGGGGTTTTCTTGGCAAAAATACTAACATGCTTTGCCATTTCCTTCTCCAGCTCATTTACAGATGAGGAACTGAGGCAAACAGGATTAAGTGACTTGCCAGGGTCAACACTACTAGTAAGTGTGTAAGGCTGGATTTGAACTCATGAAGATGAGTCTTCCTGATTCCAAGCCCAGTGCTCTATCCACTTTGCCACCTAGCTGCCCCTTACTAAGTACCTACTATTTGCCAGTCACCCTGTTAGGCATTGGGGATACAAAAAGAGGCAGAAGATAGTCTCTACCCTCAAGGAGCTCCCAATCTAATGGGGAGGACAATAAACAAATATGTACAAACAAGCTTTACATAGGATAAATGGGAATTAAGAGAGGGAAGGACCTGGAATTAAGAGGGGTTGAGAAAGTTTTCCTGTGGGAGAATTTATTTTAGCTGGGACTTAAAGGAAGTCAGAGAGGTCAGTCATTGGAGCAGAGGAGGGAGAGTATTCCAGGCTCGGGAGACAGCCGGAGAGAATGCCTGGAACTCTGAGGAGTAAATTGTTTGTGGAATAGCCAGGAAGCCAGGATCATTGGATTGAACAGTACCTGTCTGGGAGTAAGGTATAAGAAGACTGGAAAGGTAGGAAGGGCTAGGTTGTGAAGGGCTTTGAATGCCAACTAAATGATTTTGTATTTGATACTAGAGGCAACAGGGAG